TTTATACTAGGTACAAATAATAATGGCAAACACAGTGTAGCAGAAACATCGTACAGTGCGAGGTTTGCAAACTGCGCGTCAATATCTGTCATCTACATCTAGATAGCATCCGCTTTCTCGGGAAGCTCTCTGTGTACAGTAACCATTTACTTTCTAATACAAACAAACAGTATATTGTTTACATACACTCTTAGATAATGTTTACACAAACAGACCGCGTATTATATTAGTTTATGGACTCTAAACTCGAAATAATAAACAGACAAATAACGGCACAACTATAAGATGGCTGGCTTTTATACTAACTCAAAACATCGAAGTAATCCTCTCATAATATAGAATGGAATTTAGCTCATTAACTGCTTATTTGATCGATTTTAATAATATGATGGAGACAGTAAATCGATCGGCATCTTCTAATACACAATAAAACTTAAAGAACAAAAATGGGAGATATAGAGCTGAGTGGGTAAAGAAGCCTTTGCAATTTCCATCTAGATAGTGGCAGCAATTGCTATATTTACGTCAATGCATATTCATAAAAACGAATAAGGGAAATCTGTCGTAAACATTTACTACAGAAGGCTTATTGCCTTATGGGGGTTATTCTGCATAAACCAAAGGAGTTATGTTCAAGGTTGCCGCGGGCGCACCTTGACATGGCCGCTCATTAGATACTAAAACTTCTCAGTAGGTAATAATTTTCTATTTAAGCACTACCATGTAAATGAAGCCCCAACTGTATGTGATGAACTGCTATTTATTTTGACTGCAGTTCTTACGTCGTTTCCTAGTCTTTCAACTGTCTAACATCTACAATTTGTCGTACGATTTGTTTTCAATACATTGACTAAGATATTTTGGAATGCAGCAGTTGATAGGTATTAGTGATTCATGTTGTTTTGGAGTGCTATCTATCTTCCCTTTTATCTACGTTGCACTGTAGGTCACCGTTGTGGTATGTGCCCAAATGTTGACCTTGGCCGAGTTAGCCACGGTGTGATTCCTGCTTCCTACGCTACGATCACAAATCACAATAAATAATGAAGCTACAAATGTCAATCCACAATCACAACAACGTAACTTCATTGACGTGTGGCATGCGGCGCGGGCGCACCTCTGCGTGTGCGCAAGTAACACTATACGGACGAGGCGCGGTGGCTTTGACCTAGTCAGACCTTGGGCACCTTGGGCTTCCACCGTGACGGCTGCATCCTGCCAGCCTGCAGCCGCGTGTCGCCTGACCCGAAGCATATTTTTGTTATATTATTATAAAAGGTTTTAATGTTAATTAATCGTGAGACCATCTTCATATTTTATGCATTCATTGACATGAAAGCTACCGACTGTATTGAATGTGTATTCAATTGGTTTATGGACAATGGCGGCGTGGTCTAACGAACAGAAACCTGATGTTTATTGCCTTTTAACCTCATATCGCTGCAGTTAGTTCAAGTTTCGTTCATTCCAATTTATTCTCGTGTATGAGCGATATGTTCTCATCTTGTACCTACGTGATCATGCATAAATTTAAATTGAATTTTAATGAAGTAGTTAATACTGCTATAAAATAGTTAAGGTTGAGTTGTTCGTTAAACTGGGTAATATTAATATCGTCACCAAACCGTCCGTGCCTTTGAAATAACAATCCGATATCTTAATCAGGGAGTCTAAATCGTAATAAAATAGCAAAATGGGTAGATACGGAAGCTGGTCAGATAATACCGCAGGCGAGTAATCTCGACACACACTCGGTAAAATACTCGTAAAATAGGGCAACTGCTCGTCTAGACCGGAATGATGACCCTACAGATAAGCCTATAGTATCAGATGCGTGAAGAAGATTAACTGGTAATAGGACAGCCATAGGACAGCCTGACAGATGGCTAAGTAGTAATACTAACGATTTGTTGAATATACTACCTTGTTTTGCAACTTTATGTAGTAATCTTAAGATATGTTCTTGATAGGCAAAAATTGTTAAACTTAATGTAAATCTAGCCCGTAGCAAGTATTTACTAATATGACAAGCTCAACTTGACTTGCTTAGAAAATAAGTATCTATCTTCCTTAGAATATATCAATTTATTTAAGTCAAGATTGAATTAGTCGATAATCTATGGCTCATATTTTTCCTTCTACCACATTTAGTGGTAGAATAAGTACAATTGTTACAGATTACTTCCCTGGCTACGTAGTGGCCGTTATTGTCTCGGAAACAAATGAGCTGTCAGACTGTGATGAACGGCTCTTGCTTTATTTGCGTCCTGCGAGACAAACGAATTGTTTCCTCACAGATTTCGCGGTCGTCATCTTTCATATCAACCGACGCTAAAGTACTCTCCGACTTGTTTTATTATGATACTGAATACTTTTGATTGTTCTCGTATTTGAACTTTTCATTTGGGAAATTATTATGAGAAATGAATGACTGTTGTTTTAAACAGTAACAGTATCTTATGAATGTTCCTTCTTCCACAGAGTAAAACATGAACGGCCATAGCAACGGCGACATGAACGGTGCAGGAGACATCATCACGCAGAACCAGCAGCGCGGCTGGTGGACCATCGGGCTGATCAACTCGCGCTACCGGTACCTCACCGCTGAGACCTTCGGCTTCAAGATCAACGCCAACGGAACCAGCCTCAAGAAGAAGCAGATATGGACTTTGGAACCTGCTTCAGGAAATGCTAACGACAGTGAGTTACTTTTATTGCACTATCTTTCATCACTGTCTTTCACTGAACAACTCGATACAGTATAAAATAGAAGAAAGTCTATTCTTAATTGAAACTGAAATGTTACTTAAGTAAAATAAGGACAGGATCATGTAGAAATAGAATACATGATAATGAAGACGACGTGCCATTCGATTATATCTACTACACTCGCCAGGGCAGATAAGTGCTATTAGTTATTACGGCTCACCGGAATAGATAATCCGATATTCCGGGAATTTAGTTATCATCCTTCCAATAGACTAGTGAAACAGATCGTCCACGGATACTTCAGTGCAGTAAATAGCCGGCCAGTGATGGGCCATGTAAAGGATCCCAGCAATTTGTAATCTTGCTCGGTAAATTGTGATTCGCTACGTGTCTCGGTTAACGAGTCGTATCCCAAGGAATATTGGACGGTACCATTTTAAGCCGTGTTAAATGTAGCACTCCATTGGTACATCAAATCGATTTGTATCCGATTTTTGTTTGGTTTTCCTTGTGTTGCTGCGTCTAATTAGTCATTCTTTTATACTAGCTCGTTATTATATTCATTAGTATTTTTCCTGCTTTAACTCTTAAATTGTTGAGTTTGATAACCCAGCTATTATAAGTAATCTATTCAAGTAAAATTCCATTCTCGGAATAATTAATTGAATTTTATTAGCCATATTTTATGCCGTTCCTAACTTCTAAAATTCAGATAAAGCTACTTTAAGACCTTATTTTTGTGTTGGTATAACAAAATATGGTCCTATTCGTTCATAAATATTACATTCAACATAAATTCTTTACGATTGTCCTTTAACTGGCGTCAGAACGTTGAACCTAACCGGGTCCGAGATCATTAGTAATCCTGTAGCAATCTATGGTCTGACTCACCTCAGGTGCTATTCTTTTTTAAAGTGTCCACTTCCTGTCTCCCCAGTGCCTACAACCTAAGGCGCTAATATATTACAGTACAGTATGGAAACAACATTAGAAACTTCATTTGATTTTGACTTTAAAAGAGACGGAGCTCTGAGTTTGTTTCGGCATTTCTTCTCAGAGTAGTCAGTTAGGAAATGTCGACCTCATCGTTCGCTTGATAAAATTGACGTGTAAAAGTGCTGCCTTGTAGCCTATTTGCAGAAATAAATTCACTTATTTCACATTGTTTTGTCCTTATAAGGGTGTTATGTAGGTACAGATTTAGGTTTAAATACATCTATAAAAGCAGGACAAGTTTATTTCAAGTATGCCTGTAATTAAAATAATTGATATGTTGCCCTTTTGAAGGAATGATCAGATTATAATATTCTTCCATGTAATCAGTCCATCAAAATGTTAACTGGCATCATTAAACACGATGCCTGTACATTTCGCTATGTAAAACGTAGGTATGTCCTTACTGCGACAATTTTATCGCGCTCCCCCTCTGCCACTAATTGTCGCAAAAAGTCCCCTGCACACGAGCCCTTAATTACTCCGGTGTGCATAGAGCATGTCGCGAGATACACACGGAGAATAGGGCGGAAACAATTGTTTACTAAAATGAGTTCCAAGTATAGTTTTATGCAGGTTTATGCGCAAAAATTGCTTTTCAATGAGGTTAAATAGAATTACTTATCATGACTGCAGATAAGAAAAAGTTAATTCGGGTAAATGAAGGTTTTAATGTGCTATTAAGTTTTAGCTAGAAATGCCAACTGATTGATCCTCGTGACAAACATTCAATTGAGGAACATATCTTCTCAATTATATTCTCCTCTATACACACGTTCCTTTTAAAAAAGTTTGACAACTCAAATATTCTCAGTTATTCATCCAAAATAAATCTGAGTACTCGTAGTTAATCATGATGTCGTAGTTCCCTCCGCACAAAGCATTTGTGTTCAGTTCATATGGTTGTAGACTTGTATGGTATTACTGCCGCCCTAGTGATTGCCAAATTGCGATCCAATCAGAGGGTGGCTCCCCTACTGCCAACTTTCAAGGTTTACCAGCTGGCACACACCTGGAGGCCTACTCCGGTTATCGAATCCGAAGTTTCGTTAACGAACGAAATTTAAACGAAGGTTCGTTTGTGACCCTACTCTGTTTCATTTTCGTCCGCAAACGGCAAATTCGGATCCATAGACAATATTCGTGAACGAATGGAATGAACGAAGTCATCGTAGTTCGCTCATAGACTTTTGCGGTAAATAATCGGTTTTTATTTTAAATTAAAATAAATTGAAATAATAATATATTTCAAAGAATATTATTACATTCTTCTAAAATACATGGTTAATAGACATATTAAGTCAAATAAATACAAGTAAGTTAACAAATAAAGTTCATGATGAAAACCATAGACTCAAAACAATCATAAAATTTCAATGTCAATGACATTTCCTTAAAATTTCGCTTCGCGCGTTATATTTACATTTGAGTTTTTTTATTGTACTTCACTCACCATCAAGTTTATTATTAATTATTTTAGAAATTAATTTTGGTAAAAAGTGTAAGTATAGTTTTTTGTAGCTTTTCATACTTAAAATTCTTGCTATTTGCATTTGTTTTAGTCATAAGTTTCTATAACTTATTTTCATCTTAAAATAATTTCAGTATAAAATGGCTCCATGGACGAGTTCAGCAACTCCAGAACAAGTAGATACACTCCTCAACTTTCTGAACATCGCGACCCTGCCAGCAAACATCTGCGAAGTGTAGAAGGCAAGCTCCAAGCGAAGCAACTCTGGGACGAGGTGTCCAACCTCCTAAATGCCATGGGCGTTTGCACAAATACAAACATGCAGGGGCAAAAAGTAGGTATTTTATTTACAACTATTATTATTTTATTGAAAACAAAAAAATGTGACCTAACATATTTTTATTCTGCATAGGTTTGGTTTAACACGTTAAACGCCATGGCAGTCACTGGTGACCGACATTAGCGGAGGATTTGCCTTCAACAGTTTTTTATTGGCAGCCAATGCCTTAACCGAAAAAGCTGTTGCTGACTCCCGGTGGTTGGCTACAATGACTGGAGGTGGGCCGGGAACAAGTTAATACTTTAATTCTGAAGTAATCTAGATATCTTATAGCAGAAGCATATCGTTATTTGGAGGATTATTAGCTATAAGCTTATTCATACAAAAACAATGTAAATGCACATGTAAGAAACAATTGTGTAACTTTAAAATTATTTGTCTCTCAAATTAATGTGTGTTTTAATTTTGTACTAATGTCAGTATTTGTATGCTGTTATTGTACTTACGCATATAATGTTAAATATTGGATTATATAATATATAAATATATCAGTGAAATGTGTTTCTATTGGACCACTTTTATTTGTTTTTTTAAGACTTTATTCTATTTAAATGTTTTAACATTTAAAGCTTGTAACATTTATTAAGTTATTTGTAACAAATGCTTTAATTTAGACTTTTTGTTTGTTTCCCCCTATACTGTTATTATATTCAATATGCACTTAAAACTGAAAAAAAATTCAGGGTTAAATAAAAAAAGATAAAAGATATATTCCATATAATAAAATTGTAAAAATAAGGGTAAAAATAAAAAAAAGCATTGTTGTCTTCATGCGTTATCTAAAACAAAACAATAAATCGATTAGACAAATGATTGATTTTCTTTCTTACACACTTGTGTGATATAAGTGCAACTCACCGGTGTCTTTCCAATGTTTGGATTAAGGTCAGCCTCGCTCTTCGACCAGCCTGTAACGCTTGGCTGGTCGATGATGATGCTGCCTGGGATGCCACCTGTCGTGTCCTCTCAGAGTCGATGTCATCTTGTAACAACTCTGGAGCTTCAATACCAGCCCGAACACAAATATTGTGTAAAACACAACAGGCCAATATTATTTGACCTGCAGTGGCTGGGCAGTAATGAAGTTCCCGAGCTGATAAAAGACATCGCCATCGACCTTTGAGGACACCAAATGTACGTTCTATGGTGGAGCGTGCACGTTTTTGGAGGGAATTATACCTTCCCTCTGGAGAGTCCTCGATGGCATTATCCACTGGGGTCATCATATACTCCCGAAGAGCATAACCAGAATCACCTGAAAATAATAACATGTTAATGAAAATTGTATGAATATGGTACACATTATTACATACATAGTAATGACAAATTAACATACCCAGTAGATAGGATGTCTCGCTTTGAAGACTCTCCAGGTGGGAGCGAATTTCAGATTCCCTCCAAATGTAGGCATCATGTGTTGCTCCACCATATCCCGCATCCACATTGGTGATCAATAAATCACTATCACATATCTAAAAAATAATGAAATCAATGTAAGACTATTTAGTACTTGTAAATTTAGGCATTTAGTAGTAAAATTAATAGAAATTTTATTAACACTTACAACTTGTGTGTTGATTGAATGAAAATGCTTTCGATTGAAGAATTGTTCTTCGTGCTCAACGGGTCTTACTATGGCAACATGCGTGCAATCAATGCACCCAATAACTCCAGGAATCCCATACTTCTCATAGAATCTACAATAATACAATGTTATAGTTATAATAAATAAAATAATAATGTATAATCCAACCTGCTGTTCATTTTTGTAGTAATAACAAAAACGTAGGACAGGATTTTAAGGTAACTGGTATTAAATGACAGATAATTTAACAAAAATCTTTCCCATTTTTATCACAACACAATAAGACAACAGCCCCTGTTGCCCCTATCAACTGTTAACTACGTGATCTCTTGAACTATTTCACCATATAACTGACAAGCCCGCGCCATGGGAAGCGAGTATGTTTGAGCGGATTTTTTCTTAATTGTGTAGAACATTAAAAATCAAAAACTTAAAATTATAGTAATACTCCCTGTGGGTATGGAAATTAAGGTCCATAGTTAATTTTGATCAATGTAAACGCGACGCGAGCAATGCCCAAAAATCTGATGTTTCAATAATATTGTTCAACTTGTTGCTGATAGATAGCAGCGGATTTGTTGAGCCGACGATTTGCAATGTCGTTGAATGAAAAAGATATCGAGGTGGTAAACTAAATATAGTCATTATAAGAAGAAATCTACAAAACTCGCACAGTAGTTCACAATAACGGCGTAAAACAACAACAGAATTGCGGAACGCAAAACGCAATGTCAGAACTGTCAATTAACTAAATAAAATTCATTTCACTTGTGCTGAACATATTAACTATTTGGTTAATTTTTATTTAGTTGTGTTTATTTTTTAGATTAAAAAAGTATGATGAAATATGAAGCACAATAATGAATCAAATGCAACGTTGAGTCAAATCTATCATCGACTAATTATGCGTAAATTGGAATATAGCTGTTGGTAGAAACGCGGTCAAAACATAATTTCAATTACAAATAAAACTTTGGGATTTTCATTTCTATACATTAGCAGGAGACAAATAGGCATTGTCCTTTTTAAATCTAGAGAGCTAACTATTACGTATTATTTTTCTGACCGTGTTCAAGTTATAATTCTAAAGAACATAGATAAAACCTATATGTAAGATTATGATTGAATGATGATGAAATGAGATTGCACACTGAGTCAAAGTTTTTATAGGGTATCTTTACCTATGATTCTACGTTTCATGACTCGAAACTAAGTTTTTGATACCTACTTCATTCGCGAGCTTGCGAGATGCATTACATGGTGGAGGGAACACGCAAAACGCAGGCTTGCGAGGCCACGTGACTAGCCACTGATAACAGACGCGCACGAATTTCAAACGGCTACGTTTGTGATAAAATTGAGATAATTGTTTGCTATCATGCTTACAAGTTATATAATAATAGTAGGTACCTCTGCTTAATGGACATCCTATCGCTTCGGGTTTGCGGGAATTTTATGTGTTTCCTGAGGATATTGGGTGCATTGAGTGCCGATGTTACTTCACGCAAGCATCGTGAGACGGTTTGTTGGGCCATGGGTGCGTCCATATTTTGACCCACAGAGCCTTGGTAGCTGCCGCGGGCAAAAAACTGCAACGCAGTAAGTATCTAAAAAAGTTAACAGGTTAACATTGAAACAGTAGAACTATAGTAGGTATTTAGTACGTATTTAATCAAAGTCAACAATTTCTAAATAGGCTATAGGTAGGTACTTACTTTGTGGGTGGGTTCGATCCCATGTTTTCTCATCTTCGGAGGGAGTATGGGAATTATGTCCTGGCACAATTGTTCGAACAATTCCCGACTTAGTCTGTAATTTCTTACAAATTCTAAGTCGGGAATATGTTCGACATCCAGTTGGAGCCGGAGACGACGACGGTTTCTTTGCCGCTCTGTGCGTTCTTCCCGCATTGCAGCTTCCACAAGAAAATGTCTCGCAGCCATAATACGACTATTATTATATGATAACGCCTCGAAGAAGTACTTTATTACTCTGAGCGCGCGGAGTTGGTTTAAATTGCCGCCAAAGAGTGACGCTGACGACGTCAAACATTGCCATTTTAAAATAATAATTAACAAGAGAGCTTCAACACTCTTAATTTTATGTAGTAATAATTAAAATTGATAACTAGAATTATCAAAAAATAATGTTTAAATACACAACAAGAGTTATTATGTGGCAAACGAAAATTAAACGACAACTATTTTGGTTTCGTCGAAATGACATTTAGAATCCGAACAATAATCTGTCAAATTCGAATTTTCGTTCGTTCGTAAAATGAATTAGAGTAGAGTTTAACGTCAAAATGCCTTAAAGTTCGTTCGTTCGGACGAAGTTTCGCAAGAAAGAGAACCGTAGTAGGAAACTTGCGAAATTTCGAACGAAACTTCGTTTTTCGTCGAATCAGAGTAGACCTACTGATCTATGTCATATCCCTCGCGACTCATTTGCTGTCGATAACTTTATTTACTCTACACTTCATATTTAGAGCTTATTTTACATTTTCGTTATTGCAGTTTTCGAGTGTTGTCCGTTATATTGGCAATAGTTCTAACCCTTTATTCCATGGGGATTTTAACTTTCTTCTTACTAGAGATAAGGGCGTGGAACTAATTTGCTTACCCCATCTTTTCCCTTTTGAGTATAAGAAGCATATTATACTACGTCATTTAAGCCTGTATAATCTACTATGATTACGCCGTATAAGATTAAACTTCTAACGTTCTTAATGATAATGACTACTAAGTATACAGCTCTCGATCGGTAGCAGTATGAGCAATAAATGTTAATATAATTAAAGCGACACGATATTTAATACAACTCACGAGAGCTTAATTACATACTATTATATGGAAAATGATCGCATTCTCATTGAAGCGAAAGTAGTCAGTATCATATCGCCCACAAGACGTCCACTGCAAAACATAGACCTACCCTGTTGCACAACAAAGAGTAGTTCGAGTAGTTCTCTATTAAGATTACCCGTTGTAATCACGATTGATTAGGGAATTACCTATTAAACTATTGTAGTAAGACCGCTTGACGGTACTGTGATCAGTCACCACGTGTTCCGAGTTTCAGTAGCGCATGGCGGCGCGATCAATCTCTGTTATCTCACGTACTGCCGGCTCCGATTAAAGCTTTTTACTTAAACAGTTAAGTGGCCGAACAAACTAGTGCTTCAGTATTGAGGTTAGCTTGTTTTGCGGTCTATCTCTCGGTTCATTATCTTTAAGTTATAGTGTATCTTTTATTGCACGTAAATCAAAAACATCCTCCTTTCTCTCGCAATAGTTGTTACAAAATATAACAATGATAAATTGTATCCACTCAATTCTTTGCGCTTCTTTTTATTTGACGATCATTCTTGGGTTTTCCTTGTAATCGTTCCCTTGTGTCGACTCAACTATTAAACTGACCATGTATTTGTGTTGTCCAGGCATGATCTACCTGCGGTCCCACTTGGACAAGTACCTGGCGGTGGACTCGTTCGGAAACGTCACCTGCGAGTCGGAGGAGAAGGAGCCTGGCAGCAAGTTCCACATCAGGTAATAGATGCTAAACTGTTAATAGAAAGATAGTTAATAGAGACATCAGAAAGAATCAATAATAATAATCAAAGGACGAAAAGGCATCAAGTGATTTGAGTCTAACGAAAAAATGATAACATAGAGAATCTCCACGAATGGCAGAAAAATTATCTACTTATGTATAAGTTAACAGACATAGAAATAACACACAGTCTGCGTGAATCTCGCACTTACACATTTCACAATAGCCTGTACTGCGTAAAGAGATTTCTTACCACATTAAGGATCTGACAAAATTGTGAACTCTGAATACCTGACGAATAGATAAAACATCAAAGGCTTCTTATTTATCTCGACACTCGTGACTACATGTACTATATTCACAAACTGGTGTATTCTCATAAACAAGCTCTGTACATTTCAGTCAGCGTTATTAAAATTCATCAGATCGTGTCAGTTTGCGCTAATGTTAACAAGACCCAGCAATTCTCGGAAACAAGAAATAAATCTCGTGTAAAAAGCTTTTGCTAAAACTTGTTCACCATCTTCAGATACATCGGCTGGTTTTCATTACTGAATTATACATAGACTTCTTAAACAGTGCGTCACTGAGCTTAATCTTCAGCTTTTGGTATGTACCTTCTTACGGCCATTGGGGAAACTGTCACTTTCCTTATCTAGACTTGGCCCTACGCTCCGTTGTCTGTTTTCCTTCAAAACATGTCTATCCCAACGGTCTTCGGTTTTGCAATGTGATCGACCCAACGCCACTTAAGCCTGCTAATAAACTATCTAAAGCAACAAAGCCACAAAGTCTATATTAAAGCTTGTTAAACGTATATCAATATAAAAGCAATCTAGACAAGAATCTACATGATCAGACGATGGTATCGCAGGGACCCGTGGTCTGTCTAAGACACCATACAACGTACCCTCGCCACTCGCGCATACTAATGTCTAATCCTTCTGACTCACCGGAACCGAACGCCAACGCTCATAGTTTTCTTTTATATTTACTTTATTACCAAACGATTTATAATATACGACATTTGCTGAATGATAATAAAGAACCTGATAGTGAACGTGACGAGGGGAATTCGCCATCGTATGCCGTATCCTAAAGGTAATTTTGAGTCACAAAAAATAAGCATTATATTTTACTTTGCCGCAGTTTTTTATTCGGGGTGACATTATGACAGGGATATGTAGTAAATTAATCACTATATTTATGTCCAATGAAGTGTCGTTCCGGCAATGTAATGACGCCATGTTCAGTGAACTTTCAGGAGAAAACAAACCCTGAGTCACACTGCGGGCTCTGCGGAGTGTGACGTTCAAATAAAAGGGATGAAACGTGACTCAAACCCATGACTCAGCACACACAAATAACGTTCGGATTCTTGTAAGATATACCACGTTTGGCCACTACTGTTTGCTTTCGTACAAGTATTGAAAGACATCCAATGTTCACATGGGAGTATAGAACTTGTATCGCTGCGCTCGACTCGAACTTACAGGAATGAACGGCTTCTCCTACGAAGTTGGACACTTGTAAAGCTTCACAAAACATTTTAATGTAGTTCTGAAGCACGTTGGTCCTAACCGGAGGTAACCCCAAAAATATTGATCTTTCAATACACAACACACCGGAGCATTCAGAGGGGAGCGAATGAGGGTGCAGACGAGACGACCGCACAGGACATTCAACCTTAACTGTCTGTGATAGCGTATAATTCAGCCTAAGGACGAAAAGGTTATATGAAGGTTGTCAGGCTGGTAACAGGCGCGTGCCAAACTAGCGTCTTTAAATTGTTTTGAAGGGCCTCGGGATTGTCAGGGAAATTATTATTATGTAAGCACAGTTGTTGTTGACTTAGGATGACCTGCCTGAGATAAGGATAAGATATGCAAATCAATGTAAAATAATATTTATTTAACAATCGAAAAGGGCTCTGTTTGTTGATATAAGATTTGTTCGTTATTTATTCGCTAATAACAGGCCATTCATCATTTTGAAAGGAACACTTCTCATTTGCATTTTATCACATGCACTCTATTTATTTAAGTTCAAAATTGTTTGTGTGGAAGAAAAGGTTTCTAAAAGGTCACAATAACTTTGCCAACTAAATTCAGTTTGCCAGTAAATACCATAATTCCCATTTCCCTCGCTGTTCGAAGTGCAAAACTGCAAATCCTTTGTGCAAAGCGTTCAGTCGTTTAGAACAGAATGTCGCGTTCAAACGACTGCATTCTGATGCAAATGTCAGACGTTACGCGGTACATGCGCGACCGCTGCAATTGTAAATGTTTACCCATTGACATTTTAATTATGGACACATTTCAGACGCCATTTTGGCGTGAAAGCAAAAGTTTCTCGGGCAGTTATTATTTAGTTGCTATTGTTACTTGCACTTAAAATTATTTAAAACTTCCCAGACAAATATTTTTAATACCTATTGTTGTATGTTAAAAGTTTGCATTTATTAAAACACATTTTTACTTTTTGGTTCTTAAATGATTCGAGTAAAAGCCAGTGCGGATTAAATGGAATAATTTAGAAGCCATAAAACATAAGCTGGGCTTCCGGCATTCCGTAGTGCATCGCGTTGCGTTCCAATAATTTAGTAAATTATATTTATATTATATAGTAATTTTATTGTTATACACAGATTATAAATCTTAAATTATTTAGGTGAAGTCAATGATTTTATCAGCTCGTTGAAAAGAAATTGCGTGCAAAAAAAAAACTGGCAAACTGACTGAATTTACAGTTCCTTTCCCCCATATAAAAACTTCAACAGTGCAGTCTTATAAAAATTTAACATGCATGCTTTAGACGCGCTCTAAAAATAGCGTGGCCTTTATTTTTAGAGCAAGGATATTATCAGTGTACTCTGGGTACTTTTGACCTCTTGATACGAGCACCACCGTGTCTCACTATCTACATTACTGCTCTGTTCTATTCCCAATAATTAACATTATTGTCAAGAAAAATTCTTACTCGAATAACGACCGATAATAATAACCAATCGCAGTCTCACATCTTTGATCTGGTGATTATAATTAAATTGAATTTCTGTCAGACTGTCAAAAACTTTGATAGATATAGAGTTTTCGGGTTAAGATCACTTATTAATTTCGACTGTAAATGCCTAAAATACCTTAGTACGTATTCAAGCATCTAATCCCAGCCTTATTTTTGTACAAAGGTCTATCAAATACGCAATCCCATCAGTACAGCGTCAGTACTGATTTTGACGCAACCACCTACGTAACAGAACAACAAAAGACAATCGTCGTTTACCCCCCAGTCTTGTAGTGAAGTGGTTGATTAAAATGCACCTCATAGAGAGAGGGTTGTCCCCTAGTCGTGTTACGTATTACGTCTTGAGTCTTAGAGAATAATTATTATGAT